CCTGACTGCCCTAACACTATAACAATATAACCCTGACTGCCCTAACACTATAACAATATAACCCTGACTGCCCTAACACTCTAACAATATAACCCTGACTGCCCTAACACTATAACAATATAACCCTGACTGCCCTAACACTATAACAATATAACCCTGACTGCCCTAACACTATAACAATATAACCCTGACTGCCCTAACACTATAACAATATAACCCTGACTGCCCTAACACTATAACAATAGAACCCTGACTGCCCTCACACTATAACAATATAACCCTGACTGCCCTCACACTATAACAATAGAACCCTGACTGCCCTCACACTATAACAATAGAACCCTGACTGCCCTAACACTATAACAATAGAACCCTGACTGCCCTAACACTATAACAATAGAACCCTGACAGCCCTAACACTATAACAATAGAACCCTGACAGCCCTAACACTATAACAATAGAACCCTGACAGCCCTAACACTATAACAATATAACCCTGACTGCCCTAACACTATAAATAATAGAACCCTGACTGCCCTAACACTATACCAATAGAACCCTGACTGCCCTAACACTATAACAACAATATAACCCTGACTGCCCTAACACTATAACAATATAACCCTGACTGCCCTAAAACTATAACAACAATATAACCCTGACTGCCCTAACACTATAACAATAGAACCCTGACTGCCCTAACACTATAACAATATAACCCTGACTGCCCTAACACTATAACAATATAACCCTGACTGCCCTAAAACTATAACAATATAACCCTGACTGCCCTAAAACTATAACAATAGAACCCTGACTGCCCTAACACTATAACAATATAACCCTGACTGCCCTAACACTATAACAATATAACCCTGACTGCCCTAACACTATAACAATAGAACCCTGACTGCCCTAACACTATAACAATAGAACCCTGACTGCCCTAACACTATAACAATAGAACCCTGACTGCCCTAACACTATAACAATAGAACCCTGACTGCCCTAACACTATAACAATAGAACCCTGACTGCCCTAACACTATAACAATAGAACCCTGACTGCCCTCACACTATAACAATATAACCCTGACTGCCCTAACACTATAACAATATAACCCTGACCGCCCTAACACTCATAACAATATAACCCTGACTGCCCTAACACTATAAACAATATAACCCTGACTGCCCCAACACTATAACAATATAACCCTGACTGCCCTAACAATATAACCCTGACTGCCCTTAACACTATAACAATATAACCCTGACTGTCCTAACACTATAACAATATAACCCTGACTGTCCTAACACTATAACAATATAACCCTGACTGCCCTAACACTATAACAATATAACCCTGACTGCCCTAACACTATAACAATATAACCCTGACTGCCCTAACACTATAACAATATAACCCTGACTGCCCTAACACTATAACAATAGAACCCTGACTGCCCTAACACTATAACAATAGAACCCTGACTGCCCTAACACTATAACAATAGAACCCTGACTGCCCTAACACTATAACAATAGAACCCTGACTGCCCTAACACTATAACAATAGAACCCTGACTGCCCTAACACTATAACAATAGAACCCTGACTGCCCTAACACTATAACAATAGAACCCTGACTGCCCTAACACTATAACAATAGAACCCTGACTGCCCTAACACTATAACAATAGGAACCCCGACTGCCCTAACACTATAACAATAGAACCCTGACTGCCCTAACACTATAACCATAGAACCCTGACTGCCCTAACACTATAACAATAGAACCCTGACTGCCCTAACACCAATATAACACTATAACAATAGAACCCTGACTGCCCTAACACTATAACAATATAACCCTGACTGCCCTAACACTATAACAATAGAACCCTGACTGCCCTAACACTATAACAATATAACCCTGACTGCCCTAACACTATAACAATATAACCCTGACTGCCCTAACACTATAACAATAGAACCCTGACTGCCCTAACACTATAACAATATAACCCTGACTGCCCTAACACTATAACAATAGAACCCTGACTGCCCTAACACTATAACAATAGAACCCTGACTGCCCTAACACTATAACAATAGAACCCTGACTGCCCTAACACTATAACAATATAACCCTGACTGCCCTAACACTATAACAATATAACCCTGACTGCCCTAACACTATAACAATATAACCCTGACTGCCCTAAAACTATAACAATAGAACCCTGACTGCCCTAACACTATAACAATATAACCCTGACTGCCCTAACACTATAACAATATAACCCTGACTGCCCTAACACTATAACAATATAACCCTGACTGTCCTAACACTATAACAATAGAACCCTGACTGCCCTCACACTATAACAATATAACCCTGACTGTCCTCACACTATAACAATATAACCCTGACTGCCCTAACACTATAACAATATAACCCTGACTGCCCTAACACTATAACAATATAACCCTGACTGCCCTAACACTATAACAATATAACCCTGACTGCCCTAACACTATAACAATATAACCCTGACTGCCCTAACACTATAACAATATAACCCTGACTGCCCTAACACTATAACAATATAACCCTGACTGCCCTAACACTATAACAATATAACCCTGACTGCCCTAACACTATAACAATATAACCCTGACTGCCCTAACACTATAACAATATAACCCTGACTGCCCTAACACTATAACAATATAACCCTGACTGCCCTAACACTATAACAATATAACCCTGACTGCCCTAACACTATAACAATATAACCCTGACTGCCCTAACACTATAACAATATAACCCTGACTGCCCTAACACTATAACAATATAACCCTGACTGCCCTAACACTATAACAATAGAACCCTGACTGCCCTAACACTATAACAATAGAACCCTGACTGCCCTAACACTATAACAATAGAACCCTGACTGCCCTAACACTATAACAATAGAACCCTGACTGCCCTAACACTATAACAATAGAACCCTGACTGCCCTAACACTATAACAATAGAACCCTGACTGCCCTAACACTATAACAATAGAACCCTGACTGCCCTAACACTATAACAATAGAACCCTGACTGCCCTACACTATAACAATATACTGCCCTCACACTATAACAATAGAACCCTGACTGCCCTCACACTATAACAATATAACCCTGACTGCCCTAACACTATAACAATAGAACCCTGACTGCCCTAACACTATAACAATAGAACCCTGACTGCCCTAACACTATAACAATATAACCCTGACTGCCCTAACACTATAACAATATAACCCTGACTGCCCTCACACTATAACAATATAACCCTGACTGTCCTCACACTATAACAATATAACCCTGACTGCCCTAACACTATAACAATATAACCCTGACTGCCCTAACACCAGCAACAATATAAACCCTGACCGCCCCAACACTCATAACAATATAAACCCTGACCGCCCTAACACTATAACAATAGAACCCTGACCGCCCTCACACTATATAACAACAATAGAACCCTGACTGCCCTCACACTATAACAATAGAACCCTGACTGCCCTAACACTATAACAATAGAACCCTGACTGCCCTAACACTATAACAATAGAACCCTGACTGCCCTAACACTATAACAATAGAACCCTGACTGCCCTAACACTATAACAATAGAACCCTGACTGCCCTAACACTATAACAATATAACCCTGACTGCCCTAACACTATAACAATAGAACCCTGACTGCCCTAACACTATAACAATAGAACCCTGACTGCCCTAACACTATAACAATAGAACCCTGACTGCCCTAACACTATAACAATAGAACCCTGACTGCCCTAACACTATAACAATATAACCCCGACTGCCCTCACACTATAACAATAGAACCCTGACTGCCCTCACACTATAACAATATAACCCTGACTGCCCTAACACTATAACAATATAACCCTGACTGCCCTAACACTATAACAATATAACCCTGACTGCCCTAACACTATAACAATAGAACCCTGACTGCCCTAACACTATAACAATAGAACCCTGACTGCCCTAACACTATAACAATAGAACCCTGACTGCCCTAACACTATAACAATAGAACCCTGACTGCCCTCACACTATAACAATATAACCCTGACTGCCCTAACACTATAACAATATAACCCTGACTGCCCTAACACTATAACAATATAACCCTGACTGCCCTCACACTATAACAATATAACCCTGACTGTCCTCACACTATAACAATATAACCCTGACTGCCCTAACACTATAACAATATAACCCTGACTGCCCTAACACTATAACAATAGAACCCTGACTGCCCTAACACTATAACAATAGAACCCTGACTGCCCTCACACTATAACAATAGAACCCTGACTGCCCTAACACTATAACAATATAACCCTGACTGCCCTAACACTATAACAATATAACCCTGACTGCCCTAACACTATAACAATATAACCCTGACTGCCCTAACACTATAACAATATAACCCTGACTGCCCTAACACTATAACAATATAACCCTGACTGCCCTAACACTATAACAATATAACCCTGACTGCCCTAACACTATAACAATATAACCCTGACTGCCCTAACACTATAACAATATAACCCTGACTGCCCTAACACTATAACAATATAACCCTGACTGCCCTAACACTATAACAATATAACCCTGACTGCCCTAAAACTATAACAATAGAACCCTGACTGCCCTAACACTATAACAATATAACCCCGACTGCCCTAACACTATAACAATATAACCCTGACTGCCCTAACACTATAACAATAGAACCCTGACTGCCCTAACACTATAACAATAGAACCCTGACTGCCCTAACACTATAACAATAGAACCCTGACTGCCCT